ACTGGTTATTTTGCAGGCTTGTTTATATGGTTGCTTCATAGTGTCACTGATCTGTGTACTTCAGTGTGTTTTGTAGTGGCTAATAACAGTCTTTCTTTCCCATATTAAGTGCTTCCTTCAGGAGATCTTGTAAGGCAGGTCTGGTGGGTAACAAATTCTCTCATCATTTGCTCATCTGAATAGGATGCTATTTCTCCTTTGTTTATAAAGCTTAGTTCGGCTGGATATTAAATTCTAGTTTGGAAATTCTTTTTTTTTTTTTTTTGAGACAAAGTTTTGCTCTATCACCCAAGCTGGAGTGCAGTGGTACAATCCTGGCTCACTGCAAATTCTGCCTCCCCATTTCATGCAATTCTCCTGCCTCAGCCCCGAGTAGCTGGGATTACAGGTTCCGACCACCACACCTGGCTAATGTTTCTATTTTTAGTAGAGACAGAGTTTCACCATGTAGGCCAGGCTGGTCTCAAACCCTTGACTTCATGATTCGCCCATCTCAGCCTTTCAAAGTGCTGGGATTACAGGCATGAGTGGCCCTGGAAATTCTTTTAAGAATGGTGAACCATGCCCAGCCCTGGAAATTCTTTTAAGAATGTTGAATATCGGCCCCCAATCTCTTCTGATGTGTAGAATTTAACTCTATCATCTCAGCTCAAAAGCTTCTCTTTTTATTTATTTATTTTGTGAGACACAGTCTCACTTTGTCAACCAAGCTGGAGTGAAGTGGTTTGATCCCCTCTGACTGTAACTTCTGCCTCCTGGGTTCAAATAATTCTTGTGCCTCAGCCTCCTGAGTAGCTGGGATTACAGTCATGTACCAGGACGGCTGGCTACTTTTTCTATTTTTAATAGAGACAGGGTTTTACCATGTTGGCCAAGCTGGTATTAAACTCCTGACCTCAAGTGATCCACCCATGTCAGCCTTCCAAAGTGCTGGGATTACAGGCATGAGCCACTGTGCCTGGCCTAAAGCTTCTTAAACTAATAAACAACTTCATCAAAATCTCAGTATGCAAAATTAATGTGCAAAAATCACTAGCATTTCTATACACCAAGAATTGTTAAGCTGAGAGCCAAATCACAATTGAACTCCCATTTACAGTTGCCATAAAAAGAATAAAATATCTAGTAATACAGCTAACTAAGGAGGTGAAATATCTCTATGAGGAGAGATATAAAGCACTGCTCAAAGAAGTCAGAGGTGACCCACACAAATAAAAAAAAATATTCTATTCTCATGGATAGGAATAATCAATAGCATGAAAATGACCATAGTGCTCAAAGCAATTTACAGATTCAATGCTAATCCTACAAACTACCACTGACATTCTTCACAGGACTAGAAGAAACAAATTATGCTAACATTCATATGGAATCAAAAAGCAGCTGGAATAGCCAAGGCAAACCCAAGCAAAAAGTTCAAAGCTCGAGACATCACACTACCTGACTTCAAACTATACTACAGGGCCACAGTCATCAAAACAGCATGGTACTGGTATCAAAACAGACACACAGACCAATGGAACATAACAGAGTACCCAGAAATAGGACCACACACCTACAACAATCTGATCTTCAACACATATGACAAGAACAAGCAATGAGGAAAGGACACTCTATTCAGTAAATTGTGCTGGAATAACTGGCTAGCCATGAGCAGAAGATGAAGACTGGACCTCTTCCTTACATCATAGACAAAAATTAACTCAAGATGGATTAAAGACTTTCATGTAAAACTTGAAACTACAAAAACTCTGGAAGACAACCTAGACAATATCGTTAAGGACATAAGGACAAGCAAAGATTTCATGATGAAGACACCAAAAGCAATGGTAACAAAAGCAAAGATCAACAAATATAATCTAATTAAACTTAAGGGCTTCTACACAGAAAAAAAAACTATCAACAAAGTAAACAGATAACTTATGTAATAGAAGAAAATTTTTGCAAACTATGCACTTGAAAAAGGTCTAACAACCAGCATATAAAAGAAACTTCAACAAATTTACAAGGAAAAAATGAACAGTCCCTTTAAAAAGTATACAAAGGACACAAAACAAACACCTTCTAATAGAAGACATACATGTGGCCAAAAATCACAGGAAGAAAAGCTCAACATCACTAGAGAAATGCAAATCAAAATCACAGTGAGATACCATCTCACATCAGTTAAAATGACTATTATTTAAAAGTCAAAAAATGGCCAGGTGTGGTGGCTAAAACTTGTAATCCCAGCACTTTGGGAGGCCAAGGCATGTGGATCACTTGAGGTCAGGAGTTTGAGACCAACCCGACTAACACAGTGAAACCCCATCTCTACTAAAAGTACAAAATTAGCCAGCCATGGTGGTGCATGCCTGTAGTCCCAGTTTCTTGGGAGGCTGAGACAGAAGAATTGCTTAAACCCAAGAGACAAAGGTTGCAGTGAGCCTAGATCACACCATTGCACTCCAGCCTGGACAACAAGAGCAAAAAACTTTGTCTCAAAAACCAAAAAAAAAAGTCAAAAAAATAATAGATGCTGGTGAGATTGTGGAGAAAAAGGACGGTTTATACATTGCTGATTGGAGTGTAAATTAGTTCAGCCCTGTGGAATACAGTGTGGCAATTCCTCAAAGACCTAAAGACAGAAGTACCATTCAGCCCAGCAATTCCATTACTGGGGGGTATATACCCAAAGGAATATAAATCATTCTATTATAAAGACACACGTATTGAGAACATACACATACATGTGTCTTTATAATAGAATGATTTATATTCTATTATATATAGTACAGCACTATTCACAACAGCAAAGACATGGAATCAACCTAAATGCCCATCAGTGATAGACTGGATAGTGTTGTATATATACACCATAGAATACTATGCAGCCATAAAAAGAACAAGGTTATATATTTTGAAAGAACATGGTTGGAGCTGGAGGCCATTATCCTTAGCAAACTAACAAAGGAACAGGAAATCAAATACCACATGTTTTCACTTACCAGTGGGAGCTAAATAATGAAAACATATAGACCCATAGAGGAGAACAACACACACTAGGGCCTTTTGGAGGGTAAACTGTGGAAGAAGGGAGATGATCAGAAAAAATAACTAATAGGTACTAGGCTTAATACCTGGGTGTACAAGAAAGGATACTTTTAGATGGACAGAACAGGAGATATAGATAGATAGATAGATACAGATAGATATAAATATATATAGATATATATAGAGATATATAGAGATATATAGATATATAGAGATATATATAGATATATATATAGATATATATATAGATATATAGAGAGATATATATAGATATATAGAGAGATATATATAGATATATAGATGTTTATTAAGTATTAACCAAGGTCCCACAATAGGCTGTCAGCAAGCTGAGGAGCAAGGAAAGCCAGTCTGAGTCCCCAGACAAGAACTAGGAGTCTGATGTTAGAGGGCAAGCAGTATTCAGTGAGGGAGAAGAACGTAGGCTGGGAGGTGAGGCCTGTCTCATTTTTCTGCCAGCTTTTTATTTTTTTGAGATTGCATCTTGCTCTGTTGCCCAGGCTGGAGTGCAGTGGTGTGATTTTGGTTCATTGCAACCTCTGCTCCTTGGGTTCAAGGGATTCTCCTGTTTCAGCCTCCCAAGTAGCTGGGACTGGACTAGAGGTGCTCGCCACCACACCCAACTAAGTTTTTGTATTTTTAGTAGAGATGGGGTTTCACCATGTTAGCCAGGATGGTCTCAATATCCTGACCTCATGATCCACCCTCCTCAGCCTCCCAAAGTACTGGGATTACAGGCATCAGCTACCACGTCCAGTGAACCTGGCTACCTGCTTTATATCCCCTGGAAGCTGATTAGATTGTGCCCACAAGATTAAGGGTGGATCTGCCTTCCCCAGCTCACTGACTCAAAGTTAATCTCTTTTGGCAACACCCACACAGACAAACCCAGAATTAATTCTTTGTATCATTCAATCCAATCAAGTTGACACTCATTAACCATCAAGCTGAATGATGAAATAATCTATACAATATAACCCCATGACACAAGTTTACCTGTGTAACAAATCTGCACTTGTACCCCTAAACTTAAAATATAAGTTTAAAAAAGGAAAAATTGATTTTATTAAAATTGAAATCTTTAAAGAGTTATACACAAAATTATTTTTGCTTAAACTCTAACCGTATGTTATTTTTAATTAATGGTCTAGCAGTTTCAAGATTTCTAAGTCTCCCTTTCCTTCTTTACTCAACTTATGACTCCATGTCACAAAATTTCAGGATACCAACAGTAATTTCTATGAATGAATATTTTCCTATAAATCATCATACTGGTATTTAATAGATCAAATATTTACATTTTTGTCCAATATCTTTTATTTTTGCCTAAGCACTTCAAAGCAATACAACCAAGGATGTTAACCTATTTAATTTGTTAATAGATTATACATTATTTAGATGTCTTAGTTATATGTTTAAGTAAATTGTATATTAGAGATTTAGTATTTAAACTTTATAATGAAAACAAATTTCGTGTCTCATTGCAAGAGACATAGATATAGGTCAAAAATTTCCAAAAAGTGGTTCCCAGTGTACTTGGTCTACACATAAGGAAACAGCAATTTTAAGAAAACAATAATAAAAGATTATTTTTAAGTTGATACCATTACCTGAAGATTATAGTACTTTGGCTATATTAAATGTAACACTATTTCAACATATCTGTATACTGTAGAAGCTAAGGAACTATTTCAACTTCTCCAATCTTTAGTTTTTCTAAACCTATTCCAAGCTCCCGTTTCTTTGTTTCTCCTCTAGGTTTGGAAACTGTGATTATTGGACACCATTTTATAAGGATGTATACTAAAATGTCTTACTGGCCTTTGAGTTCAGGAGGAGTAATAGCCACTTTAGGACAGCAGCCCCAAGATTAGTTCCACTACCCACTTAAAGCAAGCCCTAGCCTCTATAGAGACCCAATATGACCTTGTGCTTCCATTGCATTTCAGGGTGATACTCCAAAAAACTCCTAACGTCTGAGTCCTGATCACCAGAAGTGCTTGGTTTGATTACAGACCATGTAGATGGCAAGACATTCCCACCACTGCAAGTTGCTGGCTCCTTTTGTACCACTCTCCAGGTTGCTGTTTTCCTGCACATTTTCTATTCCCCCAGGAGTTAAGATGATATCAGACTTCTCTTGCAGAAAACTTTCAGAAGCTTTTCACAATATGTGTATCAGATTCAGTAAGATGAGCCTCTAGTGAATCCATGTAGTTAATCAATATGGAAAAATGTTATGAACTGTTGGACAGTGAAAAGGTATGTTTTCTAAAACCTCCTGAGTACACAGCATTGTCTTAGAGTCCCTTGTCATGCATCCTGGAAAATACACTGCTGTAAAATTAGCAAGAGCACAGTCTTAGAGATTGATCAAACTGGAGCTGCTTCTTTATCAACTCCCTTTCCACACATAGCTGAATTTACATTTCCCAAGAAAAATTACCTATGGCTGCTTGGTAAAGACAAAGAGAGTTGCTTCAGGCTCTATTACCCTCAGTAGTGAGCCTCCTTTTTCTGGTTGATTCCTTTAAATTCAACTTCTTCCCTAACGCTGTCCCATTTGAATGAAGTCCAGGAACTTAAGATTTGTATATGTGCCATTGCTAGGAGACGGAAATAATACCATTGAATTCTAGCTAACTCTATGCTAATGAAAACGACCAAGGAAAATCATTTAGTAAAGCTGACTTTTGAATTCTAGCTATGTCACTAGTTAGTTACCGGATTGAGGACAATGCAACCTATCATTTTTGATCACCAAAAGTAGAATTTAATTAAAAAGTCAAAACACAGTTAATGGCTATGAGAATAAACTAATATAATTTATGGGAAACATGTTTTGATTATTTGCTTTCAAATATGCTAATACTTAGATAGAAATTCACTTTTGTTCTTTGAAAAGCAAATTTAAACACACAAATGATAAAACACATCTCATTATTTTTCAGTAATAAGGCAAGGAAGGAATTCATACTCCATTCCGCAGGAGAGCTTTCCAGATGACATAAACAAAACAATTTATATTGTAGTTGAGGCTGGTTCTTAAAAAAGCCCATATTATTTTTTTCTCCATGCTAGGTAAGAACAGTCCTTGAAATCTTTTGGCAAACTATTTTTGGCTCTTCTACTTCCTTCTAATTTTGGTCACAGATCCACCTACATTAAAATTTTGAGAGACCGTTACTTATACACTTTATCTAAACCCTCTCTTCTCAGTCCTAAATATCACCATGATCAACCAGCACATTCACATACACAGAACGTTGTTCTTTTTCAACCTGATTTGTGAAGTTAGAGGAAAAAGACCAAATACAGAATACCTGAAATTATAAAAAAATATATTCCTCTTCCCTCCTCCAACCCTCATATAAAAGGTACCAGACTAGCATTTTTTCCTTTTATCCCCCTCAAACAGAGATCCTACTTTCCAATCAACAAATTTATGAGCATATGTGAAGTATGTATTTCTCAGAGCCTTTTTTTTTAAATGTACTTCTTTCCCACTGGCTTCACATGACCAGAAATAACAACTCAGCAGATTCTCTTAAATATTGATATGAAATTTAACATAATGCAAAAGTCTCCCACAGGCTCTTCCATTTCTCCTCTGAGTAAACAGATCTCTTTCCCGACAAATTTCCCCAGTGAAGAAATCGTCCAGGGCTAGAGAAAAATAAGTGGAAGAGCTGTTCCAATATGAGCCCCCAAGTATTTCCAGAGTCCAGAGTTCAGTTTTTCGAAATTATATGCATTAGGGTGTTCTCAAAATTATTCCGACTTGATTTGGGATGATGGTAATTATAAAATCAACAGTAAAAGGCCAGTGAGGAAGCCTGTTCTCTTTCCAACGTTCAGTGGCTGACAGGGCAAAAAATCTGAAGCTGAGGGACAAGTAGCACCTCTGAAACCCCTTAGGCTCAAAAAGGTATTTGAGAGAGGGGTTCTCTGATAATTCATGAAAGATATTCTAAAGTCTTCTAGAACGGAGGCTGCAATCTGCTGCATCTGAGGGTTTGCTTCACTGTGCTCTTGGATGTCACATACAGGCTGTAATCTTTCTTCAACTAACATTTTGAAGTATTTGCTGGAGTTTTTACTGCAGACATGATACGTAGCCCATAGTGACCAGTATCAAATCTCTGGTTCAGAAAATTTACCCAGGAGTGGGAAAAAATACATTGAAGGATCTGTAGGTCCAGTGTATTTAATGCTGCCATCTTACACCTTGAGCTTAGCAAATTTGGGATGGTTGCATAGAGCTCCTTGAGAGGAAAAATCCTCGCAAGTTATGGGATATTTACGCTGTTTGTCAGAAGTCAGGTGGGTTACAACTACTGCAACAACATAGCCGATGTCTCCTTCTTTGCTATGGGTCAGAATGCTATATTCTTTACCACATCTTTAGTGATCATTTTGAAAGAAAGTTTTCTGACTTCAGTGAGATTATTTTCCCAGACTTACATGAGGATTGTCAATTCCTGCTTTTCAGTAAAGTGCTTGCAGGAAGCTGGAGACTCATCTGTAAGATCCTAAAGTACTTTTAAACTACACAAGAGGGTACCATTCTCTAAATTCTCAGTAGCCTTTTGTTTTACTATTGCTAAAAAGTTCCTTAATTTCCCTTAAGAGCTCTTCTTCAAGTTTTGTGGTTTGCTCAAGTGAGAACTGCAGGACTAGAATAGAGGGGATGCTCACTGCCTCTGTTTTCATCTTGGGATTTTCATATTTACAGAGCCATCTCATCACAAACTTGGCAGCACTGAACTTATCAGATGAAACATCCACAAGAATCCTTGCCAGACTACCACTGTAAGGTCTTCATCAGCTACTTTCCAAGGGAAACCAATTCTCTGGAAGGTACAATGTTCCATCAGGTTTTTCAAAACACAATTACTCATGAGTAGTCAAATACTTGGGATTGTAAACTCTGAGAGTGACTCAAAAATTTATCTAAGGTGGATGCAGTGAAAAGGGAATAGTTCTATACTGCTAGTGGGAATATAAACTAGGATAACCACTATTGAGAACAGTGTGGAAAGTCCCTAAAGAACTAAAAGTATAACTACCATTTGATCCAGCATTCCCATTCTTGGGTATCCACCTGAAGAAAAAGAAGTCATTATACAAAAAACATACTTGCACAAGCATGTTACAGTAGCACAATTCCCAACTGCAAAAATATGGAACCAGCCAATGCTTATCAATAAGTGGATAAAGAAATCATGGTGTGTGTGTGTGTGTGTGTGTGTATAATGGAATGCATATATGTATATATATGTGTGTGTGTGTGCATATATATGTATATGTGTGTGTATATATGGTGTGTATATATGTATACAGTATATATGTGTGTGTATAATGAAATGCATATATACATATGGCTGAGCAGTATTGCCTTTTGTATATGTGCATATATATGTATGTGTGTATAATGGAATGCATATATACCTATAGCTGAGTAGTATTTCATTGTGTGTATGTGTGTGTGTGTTGTATAATGGAATACATATATGCATATGCATTTTTTAATAAAAATTTTTTGCATATATGCATTCCATTACACACACACACATATACATAAACACAATGAAACACTTGTGTATGTGTATCTATATACACATGCATATATACATTCCATTATACACACACATATATACACACAATGAAATACTACTCATTATACACACATATACTTTATACATATATATACATATTCATTACATTATACACACATATACATATATACACATACATATATATGCACATATACATACAATGCATATATACACATACACCAATGAAATACTTATGTGTGTATATATATATACACATGCATATATACATTCCATTATACACACATATATATACACATACACATAATGAAATACTACTCATTATATACTCACATACTGTATACATATATATACATATGCATTCCATTAATTCCATTATACACACATACACATATATATACGCACACATAGACACAATGAAATACTACTCAACCATAAAAAGGAACAAATTAATGGCATTTTTAACAACCTGCAGGGAACTGAATAGTATTATTCTAACTGAAGTAACTCAGGAATGGAAAACCAAACTTTGTAGTTCTTACTCACTCCTAAGTGGAAGCTAAGCTATGAAGATGCAAAGGCATAAGAATGATACAATGGACTTTAGGGACTTGGAGGAAAGGACGGGAAGAAGCAAAGAATAAAAGACTACAAATTGGGTTCAGTGTATATTGCTTGAGTGATGGGTGCACCAGAATGTCACAAATCACCATAAAAAAATTAAAAAATAAAATGAATTGTCAGGAAAGTCTTCTCCGAAGATGGGAAGATGGACAATGTTAGCAAACCATAATAATGAGCTACATCTTGCTAACTAAAATTTAAAGAAAATCAATTCTAGATACAAAAAAAAATACTCAAATGCTCAATGGTAGAAATAAGCTGGAATTTGTGCAGATCAGAGAGATAGATGAGAGGAGTGCAGCATAGCAAAGGAGACAGTGGAGAGCATTGGCTTTGAGAAGCAGGTAGTAGTCAGACTTTACAGACCATGTTAATGTGGAAGAAAAATAAATCTTGGGGCCCCAAAATCACTAAGTTAAACTAAGTTAAACCAATGAGTCAAGCTTGGAACTGCTAAGGCTGTACCTGCTCCCCATTCTATTCGGTCATCCCTCTGCTCACTGAGATAAATGTATACCTGATTGTTCTCTTAGGAAAGGCTCATCAGAAACTCAAAAGAAGGCAATCACTGGTCTCTCAACTATCTGTGACCTGAAAGCTCCCTCCCTGCTCTGATTTGTCCCACCTTTCTGGATAGAACCAATGTACATCTTACATATATTGATTGATGTCTCATGTCTCTTTCAAACTGTAAAAACAATCTGTGCCCTGACCATCTTGGGCACATATCATCAGGAACCCCTGACGCTGTGTCATGGGTGTGCATCCTTAACTTTTGTGAAATAAACTTCCTAAATTGAGACCTGTCTCATATATTCAGGTTTCACACTAATATCCCCTCCAAACCTCATGTTGAAATTTGATCCACAATATTGAAGGTTGGACTTGGTAGGAGTTGTTTAGATCACGGAGATAGATCCCTCATGGATACATTAATGCCTTTCCTGAAGGTTGATTTCTTACTCTATTAGTTCTTGAGAGAGCTGTTTGTTAAATGGGATGTGAGACCTCCCCATCTCTCTCTCTTGCTTTTTTTCTTACCATATCGTTTCTGCAGATATTGGCTTCCCTTTACCTTCCACCCAGAGGGGAAGCAGCCTAAGGCTCCCACCAGAGGCAGATGAGACTTCCAGGTATCAGAGCCATGAACCTTCAGACATCAGAATTGTGAGGCAAATAAACTTTTTTCCTTATAAATTACTCTCTTGGGTATTTTATTATAGCAAAGCAAAACAAAACAGACTACATACACAACAACTTGTTTGGATGTTATACAAAATGCAATTAAAAAACTGTTGAAGAAGTTCAAGCACAGAGAAGGAAAATGACGAGTGGAAGTGGTTACGAAAATGGAATTTTTTAAATGTTATCTGGCTGCTATGTTGAGAATGACTAGAAAGGAGGCAAATGAGAAAGCTATAGTGATCATCTTAGGGAGGCATTACTGTAGCTGTAAACAAGGATATAAAAGAAGACATGAAGGGAAAAGTACATAGATTCAAAATATATATTTGAGACTGAACCAATATGATTTGTTAATGGATTAGAGCAGACAATAATGAAAAAAATGAACAAATTATGACTACTAGGTGATTTGCTTTGGCAAACCAGGTGAAGGGCCTTAGCATTCATATTTATGGAAGAACCTTTCAAAGGGGGTACTCTTGGAGAAATGAAAAGTGAGATTTATACTTTTGTTCTATATATTTGTAAATGTCAGATCCTTATTAAATATGCAAGTGATAATTATCTTTAGCTAAACGAGACGACTGAACATAGTGTATTTATGTATATATATACACAGACATTATATGTTAAATTATATACACTTAGATTAATTTTTTATAGAAGATGATATTTCTTGTATCTATAGTGTATTGTAAAAAATAGACTATAGGTTAAGTTTAACTTCTACTTAATATTTTGACAGATTTCTAAAACTAAGTTAATAGTTTACTAATTAAATCTAGAAATTAAGAACACATGAAAAATATTCTCCCAATCCTTGAAATAATCTCTCAATCATTCTTAAGAAAATACTAATAATTGAAGAAAATGTTAAAAGTTTAACTACAAACTATTCAGAAATAAGTGGCAATGAGAATATATCATATTTAAACTAATGGAATTCAGCCAATATTTTTCCAATAAAAGATGCAGTGCTTTTATTATAAATGAATAAAAATAAGGTACAATTCAAGATGCTTAGAAACCAAAACAATAAATGTACAGAAACTATAAAACTAATTAATAAAGACATTAGTGAGTTACAGAACAATGGGCTTGAAAAATATGCAAGTTCATTTTCTTGAAACAGAACACATGAATGTGTAAACCAAAATGTAAGTACTTTGTGAAGACTAAGAAACACATAAACTTTATGAAAACATACTCACATTTTGGGAATATAATGTCTGCTATGACTGTATATACTGTATGTATACCTATGACTATACATACCTATTTGCTAGTTATATTAATAATATGAAAGTTAGAGGAAGAAAATATCAAAAAAGCATATGAAGTAGAAAAAAATTTTAAATGACACTTGTATTTTATGGAAAATAAATTGAAGACAATTTTAGAAAATGGAAGGAGATTTCTATGTATAAATGTAGTCTAAAACGTGGAAACTGCGAGGCTATGGATACTTTATGAGAGAATATGAATGAGTAATATTCTGTTACAGTAAAACTGAATATATTAAAATAAATATAAAACATTTAGCAATTTTCTTCAAGTGTGATATTAATTTATCCCAGTTGTAAAAATAAGAGCTTTTACATTTATATTGAATACATTTAACATTATTTTAGCTCACAAAATAAAATGCAGATCTATTAACAATACTCTGTTGTGAATAGAATAGAAACTAACAATTCCAGGCAAAAAACCTACCATATGCAATCATAAAAACTGTCCACTTAATTGGTGTTTATTCACATTCTTATCTTTAACTGCATATTATTTTAGAGAGAGTTAGAATAATGTGATTTTGAAAATTCTGCCCCTCTGGTATCGTACGTTTTTTTCCAACTCTTATTCTTATGCATTATTATAAAGTTAAAGAATTGCTTTTCATATTGGAAAAACGGCAACATTTCAATTTCAAAAGAATTAAATGGCCAGAACAGAGACAACGTTAAAGCCTTTAAAAAACGGTATGTGGGGGAAGGGGAAATGGTCAGGAAAGAAAATAGAGGCAGTAAAATAGAGGCAATCTCGGTTTGGAAATAAAAACATATTCCACACATATCAGAGACATAGTTATAGATAGAATTGAAAGGAATATAAGAAAGATGTTGCAGGCAGAATAATGGCTCTCAAAGACATCCTAATCCTTACAGGACAATCCTTGTACGTTACCTTTTAAAGTTCAAATCACTTGGAAGATATTATTTATAAAAGGGTTTTGAGATAAAGAGATTGTTCTGGGCTATCTGAGTGAGCACAGTGAAATCACAAAAGGCCTTACAAGTACAAGATAGAGACAGGAGAGAGGAGGAGGGTCAGAGTCAGAGAGATTTGAAGATACTACCACCTTGCTGGCTTTTAACATGGAAGAAGGGGCCATGAGCCAAGACACGTGGATGGCCTCTAGAAGCTGGAAAAGGGAGGGAAACAGATTTGTCTATAGAGCCTCCAGAAGGAACTCAGCCTTGCTAACACCTTGATGATAGTGCACTGACTCATGTCATCATAATGTATTTCAGCAGCAATAGGTATATGTGTATGCAGCTTTGTTATGAGTGAATAAAAATAAAGTACTATTTGTAATGCTTGAAAACAAGACAAATAGTCTCACTGACATGAGAGACTAATTTGCGATATCATTAATAAATTAGAAAATAAGCTAGGTAAGTATGCCCATACATATGTAGCGTGTGTGTGTGTGTGTGTGTGTCTGTGTATGTGTGTGTAGAGAACTATTCTTTGCTGAAAGGTATAGAAAATACTGCTGATAAAGTCAGGCCTGTGTTATTTTGATATATGAATAAAATAAATCTATACTGATGATGCCATGTATCAAATGCTAGTTATGAATATCCTGCAATACAGAATTAAGTTAACTGAATTGCCTAAGATTGTCCCAAATAATGATAGTATACTATTGTATGTTTAAAGTTATGCAAAACTCTAATTGAAAAATGTTCTTGTTAAGTTCATCAAGCTCTAGTATTTTATATAAGAAAAATTCTTTTAAAAACTATTTATTTTAAAAGTGATAATACATACAAGCAAGTCTGTCTTTTCTGATGTTTAGATAATTAGTAGTTTCCCATATGGCTAGAAAACCTTTAGGTAGATACTCCTAAATCCATGCAATCCAACCTTTCCCTATCAGGGTGCCTGTATTTCCTTTGATTATTTCTCAAATACCAAAGCAGAAATATAGTACATATATAAAGATGATAGGTTCTGGATTTATATTAACAGTCTGCAATCATTCAATATTCTATCATGATATTTATCTAAATTATTGATTTATGTCACCAAGGATCTTCTGACTACCAAATTCAGCTATCTGTATTTAATCATCCCATAGGGCCATATGGTATGAGTTATAGTGAAGATTTTGGGGGTTTTGAAACTCTCTTCTCACATCTTCCAGGGTAGAGCCCACTACACATTACTTTTCAACACTCCTTCCATGTTCTTCTCATTCCAAAATCTGCTCTGAAACATTTCATCCCCGGTTTGACCTCTGGACAACCACTGCCATTTGCTCTTCTTCTCTACCTGCGTTTGACATATTTCCTATAATGATATTTCTGACTAATATTGATTGATTGGGGTAGCTCTCTAATTGTTTTACAAAGTCTAATTTTAGTTCAGAAAAAAATTATATAATCCCTCTCAAATAAGTAAGACCCTGGAAATTGATGAGGGTATGAAAGCTCAAGAAGCCAAAGAAGGGTAACAGAATTAATGAGGTAAAGAGACTTACAAATATAAATTTCACTGACTTCACAATGGATTTCGACTTCTATTAAGTGTCAGACACAAAGACACAGTGCTATGTATGTGAGTGACAAGAAATAACCTTCAAGAGTTTAAAGTGTATGAAATAAATTTAGAATTTTATAGGTTATGTAATAATGTAATGATACTGAATACTGTTATCCATATGAGTGAGAGGAAATGCTCACTAATGAATGAAAGGCACTGACCTTAATGAATGTCAAGTGGTTAGAGGTGGGGACAAAGAGATTGGTGGGGAGGGGCAGACACATGAAATCTAGGTAGAAGGGACAGCATGTATCAAAATATGAAGATTTGAAAGAATGTCATAGAAACTGCATTTCTAAGTGCCCTGTTGCCTGCTATGTTGGTCAAAACAAGCCTCTCCATATGAAAAATGCATCCATTCAACAGGCTCTCACTGACCCTTCCCATGTCCAAATAAACATGACTAGGGCCAAAGGAAAAAAAAATGAGTTTCCCCTTCAATTATTATGAATAAGGCTGCCTATCATATCTAACAGCTAGAGGAGAAAATACTCTGCATGCTAAGTTAAACTAAAATCAATTGGGTTGCTTTATCTAATCCTTGTTTTCATGATCGAGGAAATCTGGAGCATTACTCCCTAAGAAAAGCAACTTTTTCTATTATAATTATAACTGAAGATATGTCTCAAACTTTGTAGATATTAAATGAGAATGAGAAATATATTGCCTTTTCTCTATGAAGACACTGACTGTAAATACAATATTCTTGGTTGTTTTATCATACTCCTGTGTGTGTATGTTCATGTGCATATTTGATTTGCCAGTCCTAATTTTCACTCCTTGGTGCTTGCAAGTTATTCTTTTATTTTCCTTTCTTTTGATATCTTTAGTAAAATTTCCTCTTTTAAATGTACTTTCCTATAAGTTTTGGTAAATGCATATAGTTGTGCTATCATCACCACAATTAAGATATAGAGCAGTTTCACAAATCCCCAAGTCCTTCATACCTCTTTGTAGACAACTTCTTTTCCATTCACTGCCTAGCAATCAGTGAAGATACAGAATGTAGCCCAGTGAAGCTGCCTGCTATCACTTAACATAATGCACTTGAGATTCTCCCATATTTCTGGTACGTGATGAGTTGGTTCTTTATCGCAAAGTAGTGTTTTATTTTAAAGAGGTACTAGAGTTTTATTCTCCAGTTGATGGATATTTGGATTAAC